CCATTGTAGAAGGACCCAGTGCCAATGTGCGCAAAATGTCGGAACCCGTCCCATTGCGTTCCACTTTGCGTATTCAGATGGTACAGATCGTCATAGCAAATATTTTCATGAACAGTCTTGATCTCGTGCTGGAAGATTTCTCGCCCAAATGCCGGCTGATAAGGAACATCTAATGGAAGATTTACGGGAACAATTTCGCCAGTTCGTATTTCGTTAGATGCAGCCGCAACTCGACTCGGAGTGAGGAGATTGAGTCGACCGATCTATGTTATAAGCGACGAATCCGGACATGGAGTACTGGGACTCACGTAATCATTGTCTCCCCAAACCCAAGCAGCCTCTGGTGGTGCACCCGGAATTTGTGGCAGCTCCTGGCGAATGGGGAACTTCGTGCAGTCTGGATCCCATGGAATCGTAGTTGCTGTCTTGTTCATGGTCAAGAAATCCTTAATTTGTGTCAATCTCTGACTAGCAGTATTCTTAGGTTCCGCCATTTCAAGTCGCTCCTGCAATGTGGTCCGCCTGATAGTTTCAGAGTATTGATCGCAAGAACTGAATTGACGAGAGATAGGAGTGGCACGGTTGATCTAAGGCCACAGTCTTCCGGGCGTCCTACGAGGTTATACTCCATCACCTACGCCCCACAACTCCAGTGCATGCCGTCATGCTTGGAAGATTCACCCCGCATTGTCCACAAATTGGCCAGCGTACCGAGGTTCAGTCCTAAACTGTAGCGTCGAGCGAGTCGTGCAGCCAATCGTAGTGAACTTCGCCGCTGTCCACGCCGTACATCGTTAGCCATCAAAGCGCCATTATAGTTGCATGCTTTGTTCTTCATTTCTCGTTCATAGTTGGGTTGGCGATCCTGGAATGCCTATTGTGTCTGCATCGAAGGCGGTGTGAAGCCCGAGATGAAGTGCAGATTGGTACAGGATATCGTCGATATTACGTCAGCTAAAGACGCTAAAGCAATTTGGCTTAGCTTGTGTTTGGCCACCCATCCTCCTGCTTGCTCCTGCTTGCTCCTCTACTCCTTCTTGAACATCACCATCATAATTCATCTTAACAGGACTCACGCGTCTCTCCACCAAACCACGCGGAGACGATGCATACTCAGGCGACGCTCCTACCGCGGTCACTACTTCATGCGGTGTGAATAGCGGGGACGGTATGGCACGGCATCACTTTCATCAAACCCACACGCATATGGCGACTGTTCCTACAAACTCTTCCCTACGTTCTCAAAGAATGGAAAAACTACATCTCACACATCTTTCCTGCTGGTATATTAATTATAAATAGATGATTCTGATGCGGACTGCCGGTGAACAATGATAATCGCACCCATGAAGACTTAATCCATCCGAGCAGCATTTTTCTCATGCTTACTTTGGACAAGTATCGGTTTGATCAGTGGACGAATTGTTAATTTAATTTGCCCATATCTGTGATGAATGTGCTTAATCACTCCAGGAGTATTGACAAAGCCGACTCAAAAGAGACGTCAAATAGCGGACGAAGCGTACATCCACCCTGATACTCCTTATTGTACATCGGACAACATCGTTAATCTATCGCACACCATAATCATTCTTCTATCTCATTTAGCTGTAAGACTCATAAAAGCCGGTCATTATACTTCTACCCGCAAATTATGGTCACTACAAAGGTAAAAGTACGGCTGTTGGTCAAACGATTGTGGCAACCAGGGCGCTTGCTATCACTAACATCCATTCTCTACACGACCGACCGTTCAAACTCCGGGCCATTCATCTCGAGCTTCTTGCTAAGCGGATTTTACAATTATGTATAATTGGTGTGTGAACACATGGCGACGGGAAAGCGATTACCTGCGCCCGAACTTACATCTTGGAAAGATTTCCGGGCCTTTCTTTCAACCCAAAAACACTCTCTTTGGCCCCATTTTAGTCTTTTTAGGATTTTCTCTGTGTAAGCGTTCCATCGCCTCAATGTCCGTTTGAAAGGTAGATTTCCTCATTAGGACATGTCCGTTAGCTGAATGCTTGGCCAAGGACTGAACGGAGATCCGATGGTAATATTTCTCAGAACGAACGTCAACACACTCAAGTATACATCAGGGCCTTGTTCATATAATGACCATTAACATCTACCCAACAGCAATATTTTTTCGTTCCCTCAACTGCAATAGTTAAATCTGCAGCCCAGTAAACCTCGTATCCGTCTTTCGAATTTCCAAGCCCCCAATTTTCGAACCTGCAACTATCCAATGCTTTTCACCAACTACCTTCTCGCTACTCTTGTCGCGGTCATTCCCGGCACACTCGCCAGCCCATGGTGCTCCACCCAAGGTGAAGGCACCTGCACCTTCACGATCTGGGGAGAGAGAAGATTCGAACCTGTCCCCGGCGGCGACGACTGGGAGGAGAGGGAATATGTCGACTGGTCGCATGCCGTCATTTCCAACCATCACTGCGAAGACATATCCGGCGATTGGCGCCCTGAACAAGGCGGGGATCTGTATTCTCAACTTCCCTTGACGGTTAAGGTCACCCGTCTTGAGCAATCCAACAACTGGAACGATTTCGGCTTCTGTTATGGTGCCGGTTGTTATGATGGGGGTGCGCACTGCGAAGAGCGACAAGAAGCTGGAGAGTTGTATCCCACGAACTATTGCAAGCGCGCTTTTGATTGCTAGAGCGAAAATTCCTATCACAGTGTCGAGTAGGGTCTATCTGTACGCTTGGGGTTGAATTGTGTGTGTTGGTTTTGTGAGCTTAGAGTTGTATTTCATTCAGTTATTTTTATATCACTAAGAGAATGCGATCGAATGCTTTTGATAGCGACTAATACCTTGCCAGTACCCAATGCCATTTTAAGTTTTCATGCTAACTTAGACCATTTCTAATACGTGTAGAACTCAGCTTCAATTGGATCCGTCGTATGAAGTACCATCCTACATTCAATATATGAACTGTAACTTCGGGTCGGCTGTACAAAACCTACAAACGAACCATGTCTATAACGACTACAAATTAATGTTCTGCTGCAAGGAAGAGTGCACACATCTAGTAAGCAAGAATTACGCCCTGCGCCTATCTATAAACAACCCCCGGTACACTAGACTGGAAAATGCGTCATTCGCCTCTTTTCCCCTCGCGCATTTCTACCTTTATAACTATTCACTGGCCAACAACCTGCGCAGATGCCCATCCCTGCCAATCTCTTGCTGCGCTGCTCTCAAGCACATATGATAATCGCAAGGCCAATCATCTAACGTGTCGACCCCTCATTGGCGACGATCCTATGTTTTCGGAACGGGGAACGATAGTTCTTCTGGCTGCAGAATGAGATGAAGATAAGATGTTGCGAAGCTACTTATCGCTACTTCGCCAAAATTTGTTACTTCCACAGATTCAACATGTCAAGCACCGCAACAGTGACGGAAGAATCCACACCAATTCAATACGTGCACTACCACGATGGCGGAGTCCCCGGCAAGAGGAGAATCTTGACTGGCAAAGATGCAAAACCAGCTTTTTCTGCGCTGCCGCGAATTGATTTTCAACGAATCTACTCGGATGATTTGAATGATAGAAAAGAGTTAGCTGCGGAAGTTGGCGCTGCATGTCGCGATGTCGGGTTCTTCTACGCTGTAAACCACGGTGTTGATCAAGAAGTCTTGGATACAACATTCAATGCAGTGAAGAAATACTTTGATCTACCGACAGATGTCAAAATGGAGAGCCATAACCAGAAAACCGAAAAATTCCGTGGTTATGAAGCTTTCCTTGAGGGCAAACTTGATCCAAACACGAGAGGAGGTACGTCCTCGGTTCCCGCCCAAAACTCGATCTATACTCTCAATTCAAACACTGACATGAACCCAGATCTCAAAGAAGGCTTCCTAATGGGCGAAGACGCCACCGACCCCGAACAAGCCCGCACCATAACCCCTTCAACCTCCACCCCCCGAAACCAATGGCCCACCCATCCCTCTGCACTCTTCTTCCGCCCCGTCATCTACCGTTACTACGACGCCATGCTCTCCTTCTCCAAACGCATGCTCCACATCTTCGCCCTCGCTCTCGACCTGCCCGAAACCTACTTCGACGCTATAACTACACACCCCATGACCAATGTACGCGCCGTGCACTATCCCCCTCAAGATTCCGCCACTGACGTCGGAATCGGCGCGCACACTGATTTCTGCTGGTTCACGCTGGTCTGCCAATCCCAAACAACACACCCAGCTCTCGAAGTTCTGAACGGGAATGGGATATGGGTTCCCGTGCACCATGAGCCGAATACGTTTGTCGTGAACATTGCGGATTTCTTGAAGATGGTTACGGGTGGGACGTGGCAGAGTACTGTACATAGAGTTCGGAATATGGGTGGGGAGGAGAGGTATTCGATGCCGTTCTTTTTCAGCCCGAACGAGGATGGGAAGGTGAGTGTGCTAGAGAAGTTTAGGAAGGAGGGGGTGGTATATCAAGAGGTTGTTGTTGGAGAGTATTTTCAGAAGCGCCTGGATGTGGATCGGACGACCCATCTGGATAAGGAAGTAGGTGGGGAGGCGAAGGGTATTCATTAGGGAGATGTGCACATTTCTATGATGGGAACTCTGCATTGCGCAATGTTTTCTCTGACATGAGCATTGCAATCGAGCTGGTGTGTAAGCGTACTTAGTCACAAAGTTACTGGCAGCACTGAACTGCTTCTGCGAGGACGAATGCATTTTAGAGAAATCCCGCCCTTTCGTTAACATGAAAAACTCTGTTATCTTAATTCCGAAGTAATAATATGCCTGTTGACGTTGCTAGTTATACTTGTCAAAGAGTATGAGCGGCATTGCTAGTATAACCTAAGCCCTGAACTTCACCAAGATGCCATCCACCCAAAAACAAATCGTAGAGGTATTCTCAGATCACCTACAAGCAATTGCATGCCCCGCATACACTGAACATTCACCCACCGTCGCCATTCTCCAAAAAAAACGATGCCGCACCGGCAAAAATCTATGCCCACTCTCGGAATCGAACCGAGGATCTTCTCATGTCGCAAGCAGAATTACGAGTGAGACGCTGTACCACTAAGCCAAGCGGGCCATATTCATCCGAATGATCAGACAGATTGATGGTCGGATTTCTGCGTAAAGAGTTTGTATTGCTTAGAAAATAGGACCCTGATCGCTGTTGAGATCCACGAAATCCTGCCGTTGCCCCACTGTCGTATCGTGAGCGGGGTAATAGGGCTGATTGGACGGTCAGGGGTATTGTTTGGCACTGTGGGGTTTTTGGTGGCGGGTCCGCTAATTAGAGTGATTTGTGGAACACCAAAGGATCTGAACAACATCGAGGGGCCAGATGAAGAAAATATAATACGTATTCGATCGCTGAAATAACGGTGTTGTGTGCTTGCGTTAATACTTTCATTCATTTCCATTAGAGCAAGGAGGGTTTGTGTCCAAGGGTTCCATTCCGTAGGCTTGCCCATCCCTGCGTCCCCGTTCCAGAATCATGCATACTGCGTCTCCAATACTCTTAAAGCATTCGCGAAATTTCCGGATACAAAATCCGGCAAAGTACGTAAACCTTGAATACCAAAGGAAAGATGAGCTATACAGAAGTACAAAAAACTGTCAAAATTTGTATTTTCCTCTTTCAAAGTGTATTCGACAACTGTCATCTTGCACTTTCAAGACAAACAACTTGGTGCTCTTCAAGCAGTTTTCTTACACCCAATCATCCCCATCTTCATATTCATCCAATCCTGCATCTTCCAAGAACTCATCCAAGAGCTTCGCCAACTTCGCATTGCTCAGATCCGCGAATGGGATATGTGTGCTTCCCTTCAAGCCTGGTACTTCTCCTAACTTGACTACCTTCGCATTACCTCCGTAAAGATTGATCAATTTGGCGACTTGACGACTCTCAACTACACTCGTATGATTCTCGGGACGATGATCTCCCCAGACAAATTGAATGCTGGGAACTTTGGCGAGTCTCTTGAACCGTTCGAGAGGTACGATAAAAGGGCCAAACCCGCCTGTACCCGCAGTAATGTTGATGTTGTCGGGAAAGACATAGCCGATGGATTCGTAGGTTACGATGCCTTTGATGTTTGTCGTGTTTGCTTTTGTTGTCGTAAGCATCGCGCGTAGTCCTCCAGCAGAGTTTGTGAGATAGACGATATTCTTTCCAATGCGACCGGAATCCGCAGCGATAGCGGCAGCGTCGGATTGGAGATCCACATTAGCTTTAGTATCGTATTCGACGTAACGAGCGCTCGTTGCTTGTTGCCATGCGGCTTCGTCTCTCGTAGGAAATTGTACATCAGGCCACCAGGTTTTGTATCGTGGACCGAAATTCCATGCACCAAAGTTTGCTTGGTCCTGGTAAGATGGAGAGTACGTGGTAGGTTCGCACGCCCAGTTCGCGCGGCCTACTCGTGGACCGTCCCATAGGTAGACAGGATAGTCGCGACGAAGAAACATGTCTTTGTAGCCTTCTCCCCCATCCCATCGGTTCTGCCAAACTTGAGCACTGGAGCTGTGCCACATTACGATGCTGGTTGTGCGCGGCCGCCATGGGATGAAGTATTCGATGTAACCATGATCGCAAGATAGTGTCTGATTAGGGTTTCTGGGATTTTGGACTATTTTGCCGCCGATTTGGAAACCTCCTGATCTTTCGAGAGTGATGGGTTTGCGCGGTCGAACATTCTCTTCTGAGGTTGCGATATATCCCAGCAGTGCAACAACGACCGTGACCAATGATAGGTTCAGCATTACGAATTATCAATTGCTTCTGGCTTGTGACCTCTCGGGCGGCCAAAGCTAATAACAGGCCAGTATAGGTAGATGCTGACGGTAAATCTCGTGAATGCCGTACATCGGTCGCATCCGTCACTATGGCGATGTGCTTTTATAACTTTCCTGTTCCATCATTTCCAGCTCACAACATCTGAGAATCCGATCCTGTTGAAAGAACTGCCGACAAGATATATGACGGACCTGGATGGAGCTGAGAGGCCAAGCAATAGAGAATAGCGGATACATTTCCCAGACAGTTTTGCCCAGCTACTCCCCACAAATGCTATTAGTAGCCTAGATGAAAGAGCTCTAGGAAACTTTTCTTCTATGAATTGCACTGTGTTGCTCTGTGTTCGGAACAAATATCCTGAAGATATCGCGATGATTCCATAAGCCTTTTTGGCATTGGGCAAAAGCTTTTTGGTGCTCTTTGCGATTCTGCTGTCATTTGAAATGGACATAATTGGGTGTACTTAGGCAGGATGGGTGGTTGCACAGGATTGTGGGGTGTATGGTATTTCCAGATTAATGGACGTTGTCAATTTGAAGTGCCGATTCAGCCGCGTCTCGAATTTGCCGATTGCATAGTCCACTGGCAACCGTATTGGGGTATGGACGCATGCAGATCCGCAACTGTGCTGACATTGATCGTCGCATTAGATTGATTTGATTATGATGTCAGATCCATTGGCGGGAATATTTGATCTAGTAAATTCACGTTTAGTCGTATGCTGGGATGGAGATCCAGTGAGGCCTACCTACTCGCATTTAAATATTTTTGAACGTGATCTGGACAACTTTGAATAGGACAAAAAGAATTTGTTACGATCATTAATCCGGCGACATGTGTTTGCTGAATCATAAATGGTTAATTGTTTGTTTGTTGGCTGTTCTTCCAGATTCATGGCGCTGCGTGTTCGTCCACTAAGGCCACTGCCTCATGCTACAATCGTCTTTCACGTGTACTCTAGCCTCGCACACTGAATGCAGCGCAGTATTACTTAGCGTGAGTGGTCTCCTAGGTATGGTTCTTAAAGCTGAGATCTGTTTTGCAATCTCTCCTGAAAAGCTACGCTCGATCCCGATCCAAATGTTCCCAGACTATCCGAGTCACAAACTTTTCCCATGGATACATTCCAGTGGATTTCAGTTTACAGAACTATCAACCAGTTCAACTTTCTCTAAGAACCCAGATAAGTAAAGATTGTGTGTCACGATTGATATGTATCTGGCCGCATGTGCTCTTACGAGAACGCCAGTTTGTCCTAAAGATGTCAGTTACCCTGATTGAGTGGTTACACATTGGTCGCTTGATGTGGTTATATTTACTCTACCAGCTGTAGTTAGCATCTAACAATGTCTGTGAAGGTGAGATCATGGACTTGAGATTTCGATGTTGCTTCGTAGGTACGAATGTTGGTCGCAAGCTAATGCACTTTAGGAGGTCGCCATTGAAGCTGCATAGAGCTGCCAAAGAAAAATCAATGAACAATTAGGAGTGCGCTGTTGAAACGGATTCATTTGATGAGAGAGGTGTCGAAGGTAAGAAAAGTTTGGCGAGGACCTGGAAGTCTGTTGGCTCCCTCTAAACCTATCTGGGCCTAGTTACACATCACCTCAAGTCCCTTCCACACCACGAAGCATCGCTTCTTCATCCCAGCGCCATCTCATCAATATGACCATGAAACAGCAGCATGACGAAAATACGAAAAGCAAGCCTCTTCCGTGCATTCCCGAGCCTCCTGATGTTTCTCAGGTAGCCGACAAACCTCTACCTCCACGGCCACTACCACCTCTTCCCGCTCCGCCCATCAACGCCGAGGGCTTGGACATTATGCGGACCATTCTCATATATACAGCACTTGGAATATGGTTTATCGCAATCATTGTTTTACTACCCGTTATAACTGAAAAGGATGCAATGCCCGGATTGAACAGATTACTCCGACCATGGGTGAAGCCCTTCTTGGACGCGTTGGGAGCGCAGCCGCGAATCCGGGATGAGATATGACACGCTTTGCAGAAACTATTTTCTAATTTCATGCTCTAAGCATACTGATTAAATTGGAATTTCACACTAGTAGAGGCTACAAATGACTTGGCATGTGCCCAATTGGCCATCCGTTAATGAGAATATTTACATCCACTCGAGAAGATTCTCGCCTTGTCCTGTAAAGTTCGTCAAACCAGTACTCAATAATAAAACCCAGTTTTTCACATAGCATTTCTCACCGCCGATACAAGAAATAAATCTCCGTTGAGAAATCTACCCGCATTTTGGTAGTACCTAACCCTAAAAAGACTTAGCCTTCTCTCTGACCCGTCACAATCTAATTGATCATTTCATTTCAGCCTATCTTCCTCATTCTCTATCAAAAAACCGAAGGAGTTTCTTCCTTAACTCTCCCATACCCGATATTCCACAACAACCCCCGCCCATGATGCACCAGAAACTCCACCACCGCCATAACCCGCAACATTGTCAGCAGGGACCCCCGCGTAGCTACAGAACCGCACCAGCTGGGTTATGTTCAATGGGTACATATCCCAACATAAGGATCTCACCAGTACTAACTCTAACACGTGATACTATAGCATTCACCAGTTGACCAGTGTTTAAAAGCATTGGGTTTAGAATGAAACCGATTCTCATAGGTCACGAACCTCATTGGTTGAGAGCTTTGAGCAGATACTTTTAGTCTGACTTGCGATATCATCGGCATCTAGGCACGAACAGATGATTTTCACATGACCTCCAGGACCACCAAGAATTCATCGCATGTAACTATTTCCAAAAAAATTCAAATATCTAGGACAGATCCAGAGCAACCTTAGCACTAACACATAGTTTATATGCCAAACCACAGGGCCCCCTTCCCGTTAATTTCCAAATATCCAAATCTCCCACCCCACCATCCCCCCATCTCCACTTTCTTGTCCACCAATTTTCTTTCCCACCCCACTTCGCTCCGCCTCTTCCAACACCCCCTCCACATCCCAATCTCCAACCACCTCCTCCGGAATCACAAACACTTTTGTTCTCCCACTCCTACGAGAGCTTCGTGAGACCAAACACATCATTTCGCGAAGCTGATCGAGTGCAAAATCGGGGTCTGTAAGTAGAATGGGTGAACCTGGGGATGGAGGATGGGATGAGACGAAAAGGCCAGAGCTGCGGGAGGATCGAGTGCTGGTTTTGGAGGAAGCATCGGATGGGTGGCAAGTAGAGGGGTTGGGTGTGGTTGTTTCGTCTTCGCTGTCTAAGATGATTCGGGTGGCGCGTTTGCGCGGAA